GGTCTTTTCGAGAGTCTAAAATTACCATTTGGTCTTAAAGTCGGATCTCAGGTATTTCAGCGATATTTAAGTAAAACTTTGTCGAAAGTAACCGCGCCGGATCCGGAACCTGAACCGGTACCAGAATCTTTGGAACCGAGCAATGAGGTATTGTCAAAATCGATTGAGCCAATTACGGGGTCCGAACCCGTGACTGAATCGTCAGCGGATCTAGAAATAAATAGCGAAATCCTATCGGGATCAACCGCATCGGTGCCGGATTCCGAATCCGTATCTGAACCTCATCCCGCGGATTTTGAAGAGGTTTACGTTGGCAATTATATAGATGACGTAGTAATCGCGACTAAAACATTAAAAGCGCATATCGATATGTTAAAAAAGGTTTTTACGGTCTTAGTCAATAATAAGCTCGAATTAAAACTAGAAAAATGTGTTTTTATATACACAGAAGTGGAATATTTAGGCTATAAAGTATCCGAAAGGGGAATACAACCCACTGATAGAGGTATTAGGGCGGTGCAGAATTTCCCCGAACCCAAGACGGTAAAGGAAGTCCACTCCTTTGTTGGACTGGCTTCATACTTTCGGCGATTTATCAGAAATTTCTCCATTATCGCGAGACCACTATATAATCTTATCAGGAAAGATGTTGCTTTCGAATTCGGAGAGTGTGAGAGAAACGCATTCATAACATTAAAAAGTAAATTAATAGAAGCACCAATACTAGCTGTATATAATCCGAAAGCCAGCACAGAGCTGCATTGCGACGCAAGCATGCATGGGTTCGGAGCAATTCTGATGCAAAAGCAAGACGATAACAAAATGCACCCGGTATTCTACTTCAGTCGGCGAACTACTGAGGTGGAAACTCGGTACCACAGCTTCGAGCTGGAAACCTTAGCCATTGTATACTCTTTGCGTAGATTCCGTATTTATTTACAAGACATACCTTTTGTAATTATTTCAGACTGTAATGCAGTCACGCAAACGTTAGAAAAGCGCGATATCAATGCCCGTATAGCGAGATGGAGTCTCGAACTGCAAAACTTTGATTTCAAAGTAGTGCATA